AATTTTCCTAATATTGAATCATAAAATAAAATTCCTCCATTATCACCACAAGGATTTGAATGCAAAACTTTTTGATAGGTTGCAAGCAAAGTTGTTTCTAAACCACCAATCCCTCTTTATAAATTTATTTCAAAATTAATATAAATGCTCTTAGAATACTATATCACTAATTTTAATTCTTATTAAAATTCCTGAGATTATTACACATATCTCCACAATCCTAGATAAAAACCTATTTCACAACTAGGAGTAGAACTTGGGCAATTAGCAATAATGCTCGTGAGAGCCTAAATGTTTGGATTGAGGAGTTTAGATACCTATATGTAATTAGAATGTTTGAGAGTATTAGGATAAAAATGCTGACCAAGTAGGCAAATAGTGTAAGATTTTAGAAAGATAATGTAACAATCCTCACCTCACCTCACCAAGGGTCTTTTGAATTGGATCAATCCACATCACTGCACCAAAAATCAGTTTTTTCTAAGGTAATACTTGGGTTATTCATCAACCCACTAAAAAAATCTTTTAAAACTTTCCCAAATTCAAACCTCTAACCTCTACTACTTTAATGAAATTGAGGCTAAGTCTAATATCATTTAAAATTTTGGATAGTTTATTTTTAAATTTTTTATTAATATTTTATACTTATTAAAATAAAAATAAAAATTTTTAATAAATATATTTTACCACCAACTTGAAGTCCATATTTAATGTGTATGATCTAATTTAATATTAAAATTTTTATAATTTTTATAAATGATGATCCAGATTTACTCTGAATGGTCAAAATATTAAAAAAAATTAATAATAAGTTAAAATGTTATGTTTTCATGTACATATATAATTAGTACTTTTCAAATAATAAGGTTATTATAATTCATATAAAATTAATAACTTTTCCTTCTTTCCTATTTCCTCTTACTCAGCTAAGGATAATGAAAAAGAATCACATCCCTTCATTTTTTTTCCTCTTAATTTTCTTTCTCTTGATCTATTTTCTTATCAGCCAAACATAATGAAGCTATGTTCCAATGATAAGATTTTGAATATACAAAAAAGTATGAATAAAGAAAATTTCATTTAACCAATAAAGATTAGTCCAATTTATAAAAATTTGGCTCATGACTTAGAAAGTCGTGAAATCAAATCCTACTATTAATATAAAAACTTGTTGGTAAGGGATTTGTAAATATCATTGTAAGCTTTCATTGAATTTGGAATCATACTTGACCCTAATAAGCCATCAAACCCAACTCACTTAAACTTTTGAATACAAGAAAAACAAAAAGAAAATGTTGTTTACTTCATTAGTGCCCACTTATCACAGTAATTTATATTGCGTTGAGAATAAGTCACAAATATAATAATAAGAAATTTGGAAAAATACAAAGATCCCAGCAGAATAACCAATGCTCACAATTCTCGGTGGTCAACGATATTCCTGCGCGTCAATTGGGTTAAGTTGGATTTTGATCTGACTCAATTATAGTTTGCCCGTACAACTGTAGCATAAAAGTAATAATAAATTAATAATAATTAGTGGAAAAATAATACACTGGGAGCAAATAGTCCAAAACTAAGATCCATGTAAAATTTTCTCTTTGTGATATTTTTTTCCATTTTGCCACTTTTTTATAAAACATAAAATATCCCCCTCTTTCTTAAAAACGCAAACTTTTAACATTTTTAATTAATAAAGGATGGTTTAGTTGATAAAAATTTAGCCAATGACGTACAAGGTTGTGAGATCAAATCCTGTTGCAGGTGTAAAGATATTGTTGGTGGGCAATTTATAAATACCTTTGTAAATGCTATGAGTTTAAAAGCATAATTGATGACTCAACTCACTTAAATTTTATCTTATAAAAAAGAAAACTTCATTAATTCACTTCTCTAAACTTGAACAAATTATTAATGACTCCAATTTAATTTTTTAACTTTCAATTAAGAGAATAGAACTCACCCAAAGATAATATAAGTAATGCACTAATAAGTCAATTCACGCCTAATTAATAAAGAAATCAATTGACTGATTGGTCCTTTTTTTTTTTCCGGGAAAAATAGCAAACCATCGGAAACGACTAAAAACTATCACATAAAAAAGTGAAAACTTTTTTCTATAGATTTGTTTTTTTTTTTTTTGTAGTATTGGAAACTGTTGTTGATTTATGTGATTATCTGAGATATATATCCCTTCCTTTTTGTCTAAGTATCAAATCTCTCCATCTAGTAAGCTTTATGAAAGTGAAGCATCTTGCTTCTCATAAGGAGAAGCAGAACTTAACAAATTAATAAGTCGACTTCAGTCATGTTATTTCCATTTGGGTCCCTATGCCTTCACTTCCTGCTTCTTTTTTCCACTATGATCCTTCAACAACATTCCAGAGCTGCTTCATCATCAGTAAGAAATGAAACCGATCATTTGCGCTTGCTCAAGTTCAAGGAATCAATATCTGATGATCCCTATCATATATTTGATTCTTGGAATACTTCTACAGGCTTCTGAATCACTTGCGGCCACAAGCATCAAAGAGTTTCAGGGTTGGACTTAGGTGGATATTACTTGCATGGTTCTTTTACATGGCCGTTTGTTTGACTGCCATGTTTCGATAAAATTTATTTTAAAAAAAAAATCAAGGAGAAACATTTAACCATTGTGAAAGAAGATAAAAATTTAATCAGTTATTTATTATTTTTGAAAAAAATATTAAGAAGATAAAAGTAAAAGATATTTAACATAAACTAATATAATACATATTTATAAGTAAATTATGCACTTAATTATTTTCATTTGAAAAAATAAAAATAAATTTTTTAAAATATTTATAAGAATATTATTTAATATTTAATATTTAAAATATTTTTATTTTAAAATTATTTTCATAACAAAAAAAATAATTTATTAAAAGATATAAAATACATAGTCCTGTAAATTATTTTATCATATTAATAATTAAAAATAAATATAATATATCAATATCTTTTTAATAATATATTATTTGATATATGTGTACATAGTTAAATAATATATACTTAATTTTGCATACAATTATTATAAGTATATTTTAGTTCAATTGACAAACAAAAGGAGGGTATAAGCTTTGGAAGATGGTCGGCTCTCGCAAGTGTACAAGATTAATGTAGTAATAATTTCTAAAGTATTCCCAATGTTGAATCCAAAGAAAGATAGTTATTTTTGTTATTTAAGAACACAAATAAGGATTTTTGGAAAGAGATTTAAATTAAATAATGCAATTAAATAAGAAAATGATAAAAAGTGATAAGGCGATGAAACAACCAATGAAATGATTGTCAAGGATCAAGATTCACCTACTAAGAGGAATTATTATAATTTAGTTAATTAGCTTTACTTTTTTTATAGTGATAATTATTTTAAAGTATTTTAATTACCTTTCAGTAGATTAAAATGTATTTCGCTAGAGTTAAATCTAACTCCCACTAAATTCTACTCTTTAATTAAACAGTGAAATATAATTTAAGCTACCACAAACTCTAAATTATTTTTAATTTAGTTATTTGTGTCTATCTCTCTAGGTCTAGGTAAGTTCTTCATCTTTCAGTTCATCAAGCTACCCACAAACATATTATATACTGGCCACATATATAATAGGTGATTAAAACGAGGGAGAAAATTATAGAAGCAACTATAAATTCTCATAGACAAAAATTAATGTTCAACAGGAAAAATAATCAAAACCAAACAAAGAACAAAATCTGTCTAAGTTAGGCTACTCCTTACCCGGACGTGGAGTTTAGCAAGGACTCAAATTCAAAATTACAATCCCAAATATGATAAAAGACATAAAAAAAATCTAAATAAGAAGAGAAGAGAGAAAGCTTTTAATTCAGAATATCCCTCTGAATTTCATAGTATGCCTTCTAGCATTTAGATGTGAGATTGCATGTGTTGAGAGGCTTTTAGAAGATTTATTTATAATAAATTTGACCCCCGTATACTTGAAATACATCCAAATCACATCTTGTCTCATTAGATATACTAATATCTTATTTAAAATGATTTAAAATATCATTTTTTGCCTTTTTCTTTTCATCGCCCCTAGTCATGCTCATCTGCACCTGGTCGTGCATTTCATCCACTCCTTGTTGAAATCATCCATGTTTCAGTGGCCCCTGGTTGCAATTTTTTCAGCTGAATTTTCTTGTTTTGACTTATTTTTGGGTTATTTTTCTTCCTTTCCTACATTTTGACACACAATAACTTAATTAGTGAGGCTATATTAATCATTTTTTCCTATTTCCTCACAATTAATTGACATAGTTAAGTCCAAAAGTCCCCAAAAATTATGTAAGTAATGGGTTTATGAGAAGATGAGGTGATTGTTGATGTGGCATGAACTAATACAAGCATGGAAGATGGCACGACATAAACTAATGCATATGTAGCGAGTGACATGGTATGAGATGGCCTTTTTATTTTATTTTTATCAAAAAAATTTTAGGTAACAACAAACATTGTCATCACCATCAAAAATTATTAGCAATGAAACTTGTGGAGATGACTTTTTGGTAGGGGAAAATCACTGCTAAATTTTTCTAACTGCAACGTAATTTATTTATTTATTTATTTTTGTAGTCCGGCCAGTTTTGAATATATCCATCCATAAGATTCAAACTATTTACCTTAAAATTAAAAGAGTTAGCTTCCTTCCAATTGATTGTCAACTTGTATCCGAATAGATATTAATTACCAATGGATTAAAAAATTAATAAAGAAGATTCTTCCCAAAAAAACTTGTAGGTCGTTAATTGGATATTTTGGGCTTTAGTGTTAGATGACTTGGCATGGAAAATTATGTGTAGAATTATTGGAGGAGCAGGCAGCTTTAAAATTATAATTTGCATCATTGATGGAAGATTAAGGAATCATGTCGGGGATAGAAGAGTAAAACTCAAGTTTTCACTGCCTGAATCACTCTATATAAAGGCATTTAAGTTGTCTCAGCTCTCCTCATCCTCATCCTCATCAGTAGCACCTATCACAAACTAAACAAATGGCTCTCAGAGTTGCATTGCCTTCTCTTCTTTTTCAACTCTCACTACTCATCAACTTTGTTGCGATCGCTTCATCTGTAAGTAAATTTGATCTCTTCTATTGATCCATCATTAATTAGTTTCACCAATATATCCAACGTAAGCTTTTCTTCTACTTTTTAGTTGTACATGTGTGTGCTTGATTCTGAATATCGATCTTAATGGGATTGCATGCAGCAATTCCAGCAGTGCCGTTACATTGTGAGAGTGAAGACAGGAGATCGCCAAGATGCAGGAACGAACTCCATCATCAGCCTCAGGATTTCCTCTCCTTACAATAGCATTACCATCGACAATATCGAAGATTGGGGCATCATGGGACCTGGTCATGACTACTTCGAGCGAGGCAACCTCGACATCTTCAGTGGCATGGGCCCTTGTCTCAGTGTATGCAGCCTCGTTGTCACCTCCAACGGGCAAGGGAACCAGCCAGGGTGGTATTTGGATTACGTGGATATCACCTCCATCGGGCCCAAGGTAACATTCATGGTGAACCAATGGCTAGCTTTAGAATCGCCATATCATCTCTATGTCAACACGAACTTATGCTCCTGCGGCAAGGTATAGTCCAGATGGTATTAGATCTGGATTCTTGATGAGTTTGATCCGCACTCTCTCTCTCTCTACTGGGTGACCATGCTTAAGTGACAAAATCTTAGTATGTAATAGTTGGCTTTTGTACGTTGGTGTGTTGTGTGTTTTGTAATGTGAGTGTTTTGTACGTGTGTATCATCAATCATGTGTCCCTTCGTTTCAATAATAATATGCGGCTTCACGATGCAAACTTTTCTACTTGAGACCTCTACCGTTTACCGACGAGAACTTGCACTACAATCAAGAATTCCACTACCCAGAAAAAAAAAAAGAAACTTTTAGCAGCAATTTCAGTCCAAAAAACTTTTAGCAAAAAATTTTCACCTTTAAAGGATTGTCGCTATAACCGCCACATCACCCGCCACATATGTGCCTCCTTAAGCTACCTTACACACTACATCACCATCACGTACCACGTATTTGTTGCAAAATATGCTCAAGATAAAATTTGAACCCTTAACTTTTATCTTAAATCTCCTTTCTTTACTAGTTAAAATGAAATGCATATACAATTGTTATATATGAAATTGAATACTCACTTCGCTCAAAAATATAAGGCATTTTTAACTGAATCTTACCTCTAATAAAGTAGTTATTTACTTTTCAACTAACTCTATTTTTTTATATTTATACCTATTAAACACCCTACAATAAATATAAAGTCGTTATCAATAGAGATATTTTTTAAAAAAAGATAATAATTACACCTTAAAAAATTAAAAATGCTTTATATTTTTAAACATCCAACTCCTCAAAAAATGCCTTACATTTTTTAACAAATGGAGTATATATTATTTAACTATATACACATATACTACATATTACTAAAAAGATATACATATATTCTCTTTTTATTTTCCATCATTAATATGAACAAATAATTTATCTAAATATTTATATTATATTTTTAATAAAATATTATTTTTTACTAGTAAATATTATTTTTTTAGGAAAATGAACCTAAAATATAATAAATCTTAAATACTAAATATTTTTTTATATACATTGTAACAAATTTTTAAATTTATTTTTTATTTTTTAAATGAAAATTATTAAGTATATAATTTATTTATAAATATGTATTATATTAGTTTATGTTAATTAAATATCTTTTACTTTTTTCTTCTCCATTTTTTTCAAAAATTAATAAATTAAATGATTAAATTTTTGTCTTCTCTCAAAGTAGTTAAATGTTTCCCTATTAAAAATATATTTTATCTACAATTTTTCAATATCTTATAAAATAATTTTAATAATAAATTAATTTCAACTACATAAATCCTATTAATAATCATTTTAAATAATTTTGAACTTTTAATGAATACTAATAAATTTTACAATATAAGATAATTACAAGAATCTCATATGTGATCAACTTAGTTAACCTCTAATTGTTATCTACCTCATAGCAAGTTGGATTTGAATAATTTTTTGTATTCTTTTTCATAATAATTAGTTATAAAAATCTTAGTAGTAACTTCTTTTTTATATCTTTGGAAACTTATATATACTAGGTAGAATCACATAAAATTCTTGTCTAAGAGTCATTAGAACTCAGAAGAAAAAGTAGACACCATATATACACCAAGTTAAGTATCAAGTGCACAATATGTTAAGTAATCTATAATATCATTTGTATTTTTTGACATTTGTACAACTTTGATGTCCCAATGCCATTTATATATTTATATATAAATAATAATTTATGTATAACTTAACCTGATTATAGTGTAATAACCTATCAAGATTTTAATTTATCATATTAAAATACTACTTAATAACATAATTCTCAAAAAAAATGTGAGCTATATATGTCTAAAAAAGATTATGAATAATATAAAATTAAAAAATAATTTAATAATTAAACTTAACACATCTTCACTATTATTCTTTTTATTTCACAATCCTATATATCATTTATTTCTAACTTTGTATAGAAAATAAGAAATTTAATTTCATAAATAGCTTGTGAATGATTTTATTTAATTTTAAATTTTAAAATAATTCATAAGGAATTTTTTAATAATTTAAATGATAATATTATAAATTATTTAATATAATTTAAAATTATATTTAATTTTTAAAAAAAATTAGTGGAGACAAATGTTGTCACCAAAAATACTTATACAAATTATTTTTAATTTTTAAATTATTTTTTATGAAAAATTTTTTTATGGCGACAAGTGTGATAGCCAAAAGTTCACTTTTAGTGGTAACTATCACTATGCTTTTGACAATGACTTTTAATTACTATCGCCAAAAGTATAATTTTTTATGATGATTTTTGTTGATTATATGTTATTATTGCCAAAAGTCCACATTAATTTGTCACTGCTAAAACTTCACTTTTAACGTCGACTTTTTTAATCACCGCCAAAAGTTATTTTTTGTGTAGTAATTCATAGTGGTAGTATGGTGGGGGATAGTGGGAAATTAATTGATATTTTTAAAAATGGCAATGAGTGTTTGTGTTTTTGCATCCTGGAAATAATTAATCATTAAAAAGAATCAATACAAATTTTATATTTTGGAGTCTCTCATATATAGACTCTTTCTTTTTCATTGAAGTTAACGGTTAATATTAACATCCGTATGTCAAGAAACAACATTGTAATGATTTTGACGTTTGACGGGCAACATTACTCTAATAAATAATAATAAGATTTTGAAAATAGGATCGATTATTACACTGAATTAGTTATTCATTTGCAGTTCATTAGTTCAATTGTGGTCAAATCATGGTTGAACCGTTTGATATTAAATTAATATATTTTTAATTCATGTAAATAATTAAATAAGAAATAGATGTAAATATTTATATTTTTCAAAAAAATATTAATAACTGCTTGGTGAAATGATATATTGTTGATGAATACATGATTAATATTAATTATTTTTTGCTGTTCTTTGTTTTAATTAATTTTTAAATTTTTAAATAATTTAGACTAGTTTTTAAGGGAATTGGTCCGGTTTTCAACCGATTTTTCTAGTTGTTGACTGGTTCCCTTATAGCCAATTTTGAGAAGTCAATCGAATTGGATCAAGAGCTAGTGTCCAATTGAAATGGTTGGTCCAATCCAATTAAAATGTTGATAAATAATTTAGGATGCAAAATGCTCCAATAAAAAAAAAGTTAAATCTTAAATCTTTTAAATCGTTGATTTTGTTCATTCTATTGTCCTTTGAAATTCTCGAAAGAGATGTTAATCCTTCTGTTTTTGGGAAACAAGGACAAGGGCAAAAGAGACTCAAAGAGGAACAACAAGATTCAAGTGAGTAAGTTTCTACATTCTTGAGGAAACTCCTTCAAAAATGTAGACTTCGAGCTTTACGGTGAAATCCGCGCAGCTATTGGCTTTCCTATACATGTATTCATATATACATACAAAACCTCTCAATCCCTCATCAAATTAAATTTTTTTTTTTATATCTTGTACAGTGTTGAAAATCGGATGGTTACTATCATAGATGTTCATGAATCCATGGATAGGCCTGCAAGCCTCGATGGAATAGCCATGAATTCCGCCTGTGATTGGAGTGTAGCCCTTTTTTTTTTTTTTGGGCAAAGCCAGATCTCCTTCTTCCTTCATTATCTTTCATCAGCACATGCACAGCAAGAAGCCTGACCAACATTATAATGATTGAACCATGCGTCGTGTCTAAACCCAGTCAAGGTCAGTTGAGATGTGAATCCTTCGCCACGTTGCTGTGACTGTTGATACTATTTTTAGGCCTTGGCTCTTCAGCAATCAATGAACTGCCACTGTTTTCTTGTTCCTGTATAATTTCATCATCCATTGTGTTTATTAATATTTCGCTAATGTTTATTTCCACAATAGTCTTGTTTGTCTGTGAGTTACGCTAGAACTTAGAATGGTAGCCTTTTGTTAAGAAAAAGTCACATAGTTATGCCATCACATGAAATCTCTAAAATTTCATATTATTTAATTACACTTTTCTTAAATTTTTAATATATTTTAGTAAAATTATACATGTTTTGAATACTCAAGTTAGCACAATTTTATTCATGTAAGTTCTAATCTAAATTGATACATAATCAAGCACGATAATAAAAGGACAATAAAGAATTATATGGTATATTACAATAAAAAAAAGCAAGTCCGTTGACAATCACCGGATCCGTAGTTTTCAGTAGAGAAAAATTTTTTTTTTTTCCAGGAGACAAATTGAGTTTGGAGATGATGCTGCGCAACTTTCCAAAGGGTTGATGGATATTTTACAACAAAGTAAAATTGACAGGGTCGATATTTTAAGGAAAAAAAAAATCAACAAACTGTTTGAACCACTAGGAATTCTTTAGATAAAAATAACCCATTATTTCCGCCAATAAATTAAAGTATATATGCTTCTTCAAGTTCGTCAGAAGTACTAACATATAGTTTATGTCTATGAGATAGGTTTTGTAGTTGAACAGTTTGGTTCTCATATTTTCATCCATATCAAGTGAACTGCATCGACATTTGGTACATTTGGTCCACTTGGCCATTACTATATACTGCATTTTATGAACCACTTCTTTTCACTAATGCTATCTCTGGTGGGAGAGAAAAGTGGAAGCTATATCTCAATTATAACTTTATGAAAATAGGAGAAAGTGTGTGAATAAAAAATATCTTGCTTACATCATTAGTGCCCACTTATCAAAGTAACTAACAGTATACTGCATTCAGAATAAGTCACAAATGATACTAATAGGAAATTTGGAAAATATTGTTCTCCCCATTATACAAATCCCAGTAGAAGATGAACCAATGCTCACAATCCTTGGTGGTCGTCAATCATTTATACGCGTCAATTGGGTTAGTTTGGATTTTGGTCCGAATTCAATTATAGTTTGTCCATACAAGAGTATCATAAATGTAATAATAATCAGTAGAAAAGTGATACCTTTAACATACTGTATGTATTCTTTTAGGTCAAAATTATCAATTAGTGGAAAATTACCTGGCAGGCATCCACTTACTCTCTAAAGTCTAAACCACAAATTAATGACTCTCCAATTCAATTTTTAACTTTTAATTAAGAGATCAAAACTCACCCAAAGTGAGACACACAAAAATGTTTCACCAAAAGTTTATGGGTCTCGATATACAATGTGTCTAGGCTGATCCCACGATAAATCAAGTAAACTAGTGACTAGGTAACAAAATTCTCATTTTTTATTTAAGTTGAGCAAA